CATTCATCATTGCTCTTGCTGAGCAGAACAAGAAAAAGCACGCATTAGCGTAGATACAAATGAAAATGATAAGATCAATCAAAATGAACGACATGCTTACGATGATCAAAATAATGACTCATCTAGGTAATTAACTAATTACCGAACCAAAGAATGCCACTAACTAAGCCTCAGTATTTTAAATATCCTTGAATAAGAAGAACATTCCTTGTCGCTGGTCGCCAACGAGATAAGTACATACAGAGTCACGAGGGAAAATACCGTTGTATTTTCTCCACTACGATTACAACAGCCGCGAACGATCTGCCTCTCGTGAAAGCTTGTGGTGCATGAGCGCAGCAAGCTAATTTCAAACTGATTTCATTCTGGACTGTTGTAGTCGTACTATGGAATAACGGCTGGAGAGAACTGTGTCATAGGCAGCATCGTACCTTACCACGCTGGAAGAGTTCATAAGTGTCCCCACGGCATAGACAAATTTCCGACAAGCCATTGATCTTATAAAATGAGCAGCAGCAGCTCAATCGTTTCATGGCTATGCGATCTACCGTACTACTATCCCATCGTTTATACAACGGTGTTACAGAAAATTACTTCTTTCTCTCGAATACTCGAGCCACACCAGTTTTCAAGCTAACTTAGATGGCATCTTGAGCTGCACTACAGCACTCGCCAGAGATTAAGAATTTAAGTAAAAGATGCTTCGTACAAAATTCAGTGACTGGGAATGTGACAGGTAAGCATTCTATGTGAAGAACAGTATACCATGCGTAACAGAGCAGACTACCGTAAACTTCCCAATCGATACGAACAAAAGGCTGACGAAGAAAACTACGAGTGCTTAATAATGATTAATTACGACTATTATTATTGTGTTTGTCATTGCAAACAATGCCTCAACTGGAAAACGAAGGCGAATCATGAAACATCCCGATACCGTCAAAGCTGAATGTAAAAATTGCTGTAGGTCATAAAACTGATTGACAAGGAATAGAAGTAGTGTGCCGGATCAAAGGAGCGCTTATGATCTAGATTGGCAGGTGTTGGAATGGCGATAAAGGACAAACTGAGATGACGAATATTTGTAGTGTTGAAACCCAGCCATTGAATTCTGTACGTTTGAAAGACGAGCTGACTAGTAACGAACAATTTATCTTCCCTTTTTACCCTAAAACCGGTCTAGCATGACTTGCAACATTGGCAATTATAACCAAATTCCGCATGCGCTGAACTTAACTCCCGTTCAAGAACTTAACTCGTATTATGACTTTCATAATTTGAAAAGGACTTGATGGTCTTCGTCATGGACATCATTATAATATTGATAAAATGATTACTATCTCACTTTTACTACATGCTTATGATCGTAACATGTTTTAATCATAATAATAACGATTATGTTTGTCACATGGATCATGAAAAAAGTTGTCATGATCAGCAACGTAAAGGTTATATAATCGTCTTCATGATTATAATAGAATTGCCATGGTCAATGTCATCATGACCATTGCTATCGTCAAGAAATCGACGATTAACGGTCATCGGTTGAAGAGGAGGAACATAATGTCAATTATAATCAACATTATAATCTAAACACTGTATCCATGATGAGCATGATAGTAACGGTTATAACGTGCTATGTTTATGGTCATAATCATCATCAACATGACAGTTACAATCAGCACTATGACCAAGACTTTATTTGCGGTTTACACAGTATGCAATGTTTTAGGTCGTTATCAGGTGGACCAAGGCGATCTGTATCCGAAAAGCTGCATGCATCAGACAGTGTGGCCTTACGTCGTAGGTCACACATGCTGACATAATACACTAGACCAAAAATGTCTCTCCATTTTGGCGCCTCAGCGACTTGCTAACTGTTTCTTATATGGTTGCACCGATGCACAGTGGGGTGAATTCCCTGCTCAGAGGAATTAGCAGTTAATAAGAAAAATTTTAAGCAGCCCAACGAGAAGTGAACATAGCACCGCGTAACGTGCGCAAAGTATGGTACCTACCCAGTCCATCATTATCATATTAAGAGTAATCATGATTATAACGATTATGCTGATAATGAAAAATACTATGATTGTGAAGCACGTAAAAACGAGAACGATACTGACGCTTGTGATCTATGTACCAAGTTTCATAACGTAATGTTACTCACGATTATTCTCGCTCGAGGAAATCTTGACAGCATCGCATCGGATGCCAGCAAAGGGCTCAGTAACGGGTCGTTGATCATATTTTTTGTACTGACAAGCTGCATAAATCTACTTGGCCTAATGCTTCTGTTGTCCTTGCTATGATCGTCATCTTTCTTTGTTGTTACATAGCTGAGCAAGTCATTGGATGACATAAGAGCACCGTCAAGTAGGTTCGTAACGTGATCTAGAAAGAGCCAAGAGAAACTTCCAAAGGTCTGAGACATAGTGCGACGAATACCGCCTGTTCCATCGGCTGAGCACCTCTGTTCTTTTCCACACCTACAAATACGAAAGGATATATACATGGTTCGTAAATCATTTACAAGTAATATTAATATCATATATTAGTCTTCTATTCGAAGAGTTTAAAAAGGACACAAAAGACTGATGTTAAGAGCTTGTATTTTGCTGCCTACATTTTGACAAAAACAATTTTCAGGTCAAACAACCCTGAT